CACACACACACACACACACACACACACACACACACACACACACACACGCACGTACGCATGCACGCACGAACGGACGCAAGCAGGCAGGCACCGAAGCAGAAACTGATGCCTCTTTTTCGTTGATTACTGAACGCAACCGAGCGCGCACCCGCGCAGCCACACGGCGAGTCCACACACACACACGCGCAAGGCTACACGTGCGTGTGCGAACACATCCGCGTAACCACGCAGTCTCTTTGAGCACGCGCACATACGCTTCCACGGGTGGTGAGCAAACAGAGAGGGTGAAAGAAGAGAGAGAGAAAGAGAGACAGACTGAGAGAGAGAGTGAGAGAAAGGGGAATCACTTTTCATGTAATCACGGAGATGCAGTTTCTACAGAATGACACCTCTGCCACGTCTTCACTCATTCAATCATATACACAGGTATGCGTCATCCAAGTTTCGCCTGCATACCAGGGGGCGGACGGGCGAGCGAGCGAGCGAGCGAATGATACACCTACATGCAGAGGGTAGGTCATGAGAACTCCATTGTCGTGACGGGCATCCGCATCCGGAAGTTTTCCCTTCGACGACGCTTGGAGCCCCGCCAACGATCGAATAACACCATCATTCCAGCCCTGTGAGTGAATTTTATGGACACCGACAGTTCGACCAGAGAACAGGAAACGGGAGCATCCTGGCCACGTACCTCTCTTGGCCTCCTTTGTTCCGGCCACGTCAATTCAACCTCGCTCCCTATGCCCTCTGCGAGCCGGCCGGTGCCTTTTGCGGGGGGTGGCGGAAGGAGCTGCCCTTTTCGCTTCGGAAGGGATGAAGGCCAGGTAAGGTTTGAAAACGCAAAATCTAGCCCCGGTGGAATGCACTTGTGGAGATCCCAAGGCCGAGGCCCTGACGTTATTCGCAGCCTGTGTCAAGGTGGCATGAATTTCCAGAGGTGGTAGTAGCGGGTCGGGCCTCAACAACCGCTAGGTACTGGTGGTGTAACTGGGTTGCTGCGTCTGTGTCAAGGTGCTACGACCTTCCAGAGGGGGAGATCACTCTAAAACGGGTAAAACAGGGGTGGACCTTGTGTGCTACCGGTAGTTGGACCTTCACATTTTTGCAGAGGACCTACAGCTACTGTTATACCGCGTTTGACGCGGGGACGCAGCCATTCGGGTAGCATGATTTATGTTTTAGACAGTAAGCTTGGCAGAGGTCTTATGAAGTGGGGGATGGAATACCTTTCTCGGCCTTTTGGCTAAGATCAAGTGTAGTATCTGTTCTGATCAGTTTAATATCTGATCCGTGACCCATCGGGTAAAAAAAAAAAAAAAAAAAAAAA